ACTGTAGCCATGTAGTAAATTTTGAAGTCGGGAAGTGACAGGCCTCCAACCTTATTCTTCTTCTTAAGCAGTGCTTTGCTTATCCTGGGTTTCTTTCCTTTCCATATAAAGTTTGTAATTGTTTTTTCCATCTCTTTGAAGAATGTCATTGGGATTTGGATTGGGATTGCATTATCAACCAATTCTTTTTGGTATAGTGATTCTGTATTCCTTCCATAATTTTCTGTTTGTTTGAATTTTTTTTTTAACTGTAAATTGGGTGATGCTTTATAGACATGATCATCAGCTGTACGTTCAGTAAATTATATACTTTATTTCATTTTAATAATTACAATCCCCTCCCTGTAACAACATGTATCCCACTTTCAATTTCTGTACTGCTCCTCAGAAAACTTTTGAGGTGCACTGACCAAGTTTCTTTTTTTAATGCCCATCTGACCTAGAAATCTTGAGTTACTCCAAATAAAAAAATACAGGTGTTCCAACAACCCCATTCAACAGTGAGGATAAACCGTAGGTACCATTAGAGACAAAAGGTAGCACAGAGACTTGTCATTCATTTGTTTTGAATTTCAAAATGTCAAACACGTCGCTGTCACACTGTCTCACATTTATTGAAATTACCCTTATAAATGCAGTTTCAGCTGATAAAGCAAACTTTTCAAGCTGATACTTGAAATTCTTGTCTTACTGTTTATTTTTGAAGGTAACTATTGATATAGGTACTTAAAATTGTATGCGAAAATATTCACTTAATCTATACTCCTGTGAACTCCTATTTCTCAAAAATCCCCAAGTGATCTTTTGCTAAGAGTCTAGGTAAATCTCCATCTACTAAAAGCTCCTTACCATAGGAAATCAAATGGATAATTATTTATAGACCTGGTTTATGCTTACTGCAGTCTGATTTGATTTATCATGTCCTGTTAAGATTGCTCCTCTTATTTAGACAATAAGTTGTTTAAGGTCCAAATTTTCAGGATTCAAATCTATACTTTGCCACTTATCAGCTGTATTTAGTAAAATTATGAATGCTTCTGTTTCTTCATCTGTAAAATCTATCTTAAAGGATCCGTGTGCAGGAGAAGGTACCTGTAAAGTGCTTAGAGCAATACCTGTAGAAAGTTTACATTTTAGGAGGATCTGACTCACAGCTTTTTACTGCCTCTTGTCTGAGCTGTATCTGTCTGTGCCCTTAAAAGCTTTCTTCTCTTAATTTCCTCTGATCAGTTATATCAGACGACATAGGCAACGAGCTTGAATTTTCAGTTAATTTACCCAACAGGCCATCAAAGTTTGTTGATTATTTCTTCCTAACAAGTTCTCACTGTGTCTCAAGACCAGATTCACATTAATCTGATTCAGTGGTAAACTCCCTGAAATCAAGATCCATCCCCCCTCTTTTTTTTCATAGTTTCCGATCCTAAAAGAGATGAAACACTCAGTAAATCTTTGTTGGTTACCCTTACTTCACTACATTGATATAAATGGACTTAACCTCTCATTTGTTTTAAAGCTGATAGTTACAGTACAGTGATAACACATGAAAATGAAAGTAGCCTTGTAGGTGTGGATGTGCCTAGACTAATGCTACTTTAGGATGCCTGGTGTGGGGCTGTAGGGCAGTAGTTCAAACCCACCAGCCACTCTCAGAAACCCTTTACAGGGTCCCTGTGAGTCAGAACGGACTCAATGGCACTTAACAACAGTACTTTGAATGAAATCTTCTCTAAACAGTAGATAAGTGGCAAGATGTATTAGGGAATTTTAGCTGAGGAATTTCAATATGCAGGGATCTCAGAGATCAGAGGACAAAATCCACTCTTGGCTCTTTTTCCTTGATGACAGTGAGATCCCACTTCTTGTTTCTGAGATGGCTCATTTTAAATCTAGTAGAATGGCAAAATTGACCTATCCTTTCATTGGATTTCCAATTTTTTATAATCACAATTAATGCTGGGTTTCCAAGGAGCAGTTGCTGGGTTTGAAATGCCTACTTGGTTCGCAGTTCAGTGCTGATCCTACAGCGCCTTACCAGGAGTCCATAGTAGTACCAAACTATGGAGCGTGGTGGCTCTGTAGGATAAGCACTGGACTTCAAACCACAAAGTTACTGGTTTGAAACCATTAGCCGCTACCTGGGAAAAAGATGAGGCTTTCTGCTCCAACAAAGATATATAGCCTCAGAAACCTTATACAGGGTCACTGTGAGTCGGAACCAACCTGATGGCACTTATCTGCATATAGTTTTCCACATGTTGTTGTTATGTGCCATGGAGTTGGTTCCACCTTTTCCACATATACCATGTTATTTCCAAAGCAGGAGATCTTGAGAGAATTCTTTGACCACCTTGTTGTGAATCTGGACGTCCCTCTGTGGCCCAAATGGTTAATCTCTTGTTTGCCAACCAAAAGGTTGATGGTTCAAATCCACAGAGTTGATTTGGAAGACAGGCCTGACTCTCTGCTTCACAGAAGTGACAGCGGTTGAAGACCCTGTAGAGCACAGCTAGCATCGGGAGCACATGGAGTTGCTGTGAGCTGGCGCTGACTCAGTGGCACCTGGCTTGGTTTTATTGTTGTGAATCTGAGGACATTTTGACCTCTTTCTCTGAATAAACACTGAATGATGAAATCAAAGCATTTTTCAGTCTAAAATGGCCACAGCCTAAACAACGAGATTAACACATCTATTCTGTGTTTCTGTAGTCTTCGGGGCTTCTGGTTACTTGATCATGGTATTTTCTCTCCTTAATCCATCTATTCCTTCCTTCCCATTTAAAACAATTTTTTCTTTAACCTTTCCCAGGCTTATTATTATTCAAGATATCTGAGGATATCTCCAATGATCTTACCTTGACTGGCCAGATTCAGGACCCCTTGTCCTGTGTCCCACAGTATCATTGTGATGAAAATTTGTGCAAAGTCATCTGTTCAGGTTCGTCTGACCCATGGGGCTATAAGACCCTCTGGTCAGCAATGCTGTCTTGCTAAGCTTTGTGTCTTCAGTGCCTAGCACAGTCCCTGACAAATGATAAAATCTCAATAGATGTTTGTTGAAATAGAGTAATTAGAATTCCTCATCGTAACATGAAGTTACGTGTGTTTGTCCTTTATCTCCCAGAGAAGTTCTTAATGAAGATCTGTACATACTTGGAGCTATTGTGAGGTTGATCTTTTGCAAGTGGAAATTGTGGAGCCGATTGTCAAATTATTTTTTATAACTGATGTTTTATGCCATTGAATCAGATCTGACTCCTAGCGACCCTGTATAGGGTTTTCAAGGACGAACTGCCAACCAGTGCCACACCAGGATTCCATATAACATAGAAATATAATAAAAGGAGGATGTTGCTGTGTGCCATAGAGTAGCGACCCTCTATCGGGCTTCTGAGAGTGGCTGGTGGGTTTGAACTACTGACCTTGCAGTTACCAGTCCAATGCTTATCCTACAGCACCACACCAGAGCTCAAAAGGAAGATGTTGTTGTTAATTGTTGTCGAGTTGGTTCTGACTCATAGTGAATCTGTATAAGGTTTCTGAGGAGCAACTGGTGGGTTTGAATGGCCAGACCACTGACCTTTTAGTTCACAGTCCAGTGCTTATCATACAGTGCCACATCAGGAGTCCCAAAAGGAAGATACATACTCATAATACTCACATGTATTCTGAATAAAGTATGGTGTGTTAAGCTTTAGTTTTCTATGCTGCAGCCAAAATTGTTCTCAGGTAGGCGAAGTAATTACTGTGTAAATCAATGAAGGGTCATGAAATTCACTATATGATAGTATTCTATTTGGTCCTTTTTAAAAATCAGTGCTCTGTGGGTTAGATAGTCTTAGTGAATGATGCTCAATATTATCTCAATTTTAAATGTTGGTTTATTTTACCAGTCTAATACTTTCTTTTCATATCCTTCTAGAATGTTTCAGACGTTTCAAGACTGGTTCTGGCTGGAAAGATTCTGGCTTCCTCCAACAATAAAGTGGTCAGATCTTGAAGATCATGATGGACTTGTTTTTGTAAAACCTTCTCATTTATATATGACGATCCCATACGCTTTGGGATTGGTGGTTATCAGACATTTTTTTAACAAGTAAGTAGTGTTTATGTGTCCTTCCTTTCCATTCCCTGTCTTTGTCCCAATTCTAGAATCATAGGACTTGATGAGGTCCTGAAAGAACCTGCTGTCCAGAGGATGCCATTAGTGCATTATAGGGCTGTTGTGGTGGGGACTGGCGGGAGAGATGTTTCCAGAGTTAGTTAAGGAGTCCATGAGCTCAGATTCACACAAAATACTAACTAGAAGCTGAACAAGTAAAACTTAGAAGCACAGATCGAATTGAGTGCTTCACCATTACAGTGAAGAAAATTGAGATCAAGAGAACTTAAGAATCACAGAACTCACTAGTGCCCAAGATAGTCCGGAACCCAGAGCTTTGGAAGCCAGGTGAGTTCACCTTCCACTATCCCATGGTGCCTATTCAGAAAAAGAGCAGTAGGAGGGACTGTGGGAATCAGGGATGCATTAGCATTTTAGAATGCCCACAAAACACAAAAATGGCGCCTTACAGACCTGACTGAATGTTGCTTTTAAAAATGGTTCACTTCAAAAGTTTAAGGATTTATAGCAGCCCTTCATTCCAAAGTATTAGGAAATCAAATAAAAAATTACAGTTTGCTCTCTCAGAAAACGTAAACTTTGTATCTTTTTTCAATAATTTACTATGGATATTATTTCTGGCTCTTTTATTAAAATTTTACTAGTGTTATCATAACAGGAGATAAATGTTTATTTCTAATATCTACAGTTTCAAAAGGTGTTATTAGTACTTTAATTCTTTTGGAACAAAAAGAATATTTGAATGTCAAGAGAGTTGGAAAAACTTAAGACAAACGCTGATAAAAATCATTTTGTCCAAGATTAACTTTAAACCAGCTCATATGTTTATAACCATTTTCAGGGTCCTTATCTCAAGAGTCAGTTTGACCAATTCTGATTCATGGACTCAGCAGAAGATATTTTGTACAAATGACAATTGCACTTGGGCCAACAATGTGTAATGGTGTTGGGAGGAAACCCCATGATATCTCTAAATTCTGGCAAAGAACTTTTGAAAATGTTCTTCCTTTTTGACAGTTAATTTTAATTTTTGCCCATACGTTTGGATTTGTCAAAGAATGTCTACACAAATAAAGTAGACTTTCACCACTACACTTTGAAATTAACCAATTAGTCTTTATTGTTGTTAGTGCCACCGTGTCAATTTTGACTCGTAGCCACCCTGCATAGGGTGTCCGAGCAGCATCTGGTGGGTTTGAACTTTTATTTGTGTGGGTTGTAGTCCAGTGCTGACTACAACGCCATACCAGGAGTTCTGACATACTTGCTCTTCTTGCATTGTGTCTGGTGACTTTTACATTTGACATCCAGGGCCCTTGCTTATTTACATTACAGATCTCCTGCTTTTCCTTCCTGTTCAGTGGGGACAGCTCCCTTTTTAACAGTTTAGTCAGTACAGTGAACTAGAAAACTACTTTGTGTGCCAACGCAGCCCAGCTGTGGAGGACCAGCTTGTGAGGCCTTGGTATTGGCCTCTCCAAACAGTAAGAAAGGAATCCAATTTTCTTTACTTCCCAGGAGTATTCTTGCTTTTTCTCAAAAGATTAAGGATAATCTGTATCTTCTTTCCTAGCTTCTTATAACTTTAACTCCCAATATAGGAGTCCTGGTATGACGCTGTAGGATAAGCACTGGACTGTTAACCACATGGTTGGTTCAAACCTACTAGCTGCTCCTCGGAAACCCTATACAGGGTCACTGTATGTTGGCACTGACTCCACAGCACTTAACAACAACAACGATCACCTTAGTTTTTCTATTCCATTACCACAGAAAACTGTGTGCTGCTTCACTAGTTGAACATGTATGCTAGAGCACTAGAAGGGAGAAAACTGCATATGTGCACTAGATTATCCTTTTCAGAATATGAATTTATTATTTTCCAGGGTTTCGATATCATTTGCACTAGATTAAACTACTGAATCATAAGTAAGATGTTACTGGTACCTTGGATTGGAATAGAACTATATAATTTAAGAGCTATATAAAGTCATAAATGCTATGCTCTCAGTCTACAGGTGAGAAAAGGAGAGGTGAGTGATCTGGTCAAGGCCACACAGTTTGGTTAGTTGTTGGCTTTGCTTTTCTCACTATACCAGTACTTAGACTTTCGCAATGAAGTTACCCTAATGTCACAAAAGAGTGACCATCTCTTAAGGGATGGTCACATTGTAGGATTTTCTGAAATCTTTTAAAAATTCATTTGAGCTTAATATTTTACTGATACTCATGTGTGCATTTAATCAGTAGACTGTTTCTTCAAGAAAAATTCATATTCCAAAGTCGAATATCAGGCTCTCCTTTTGGCTCAACATCTCTTTGGGTCTCTTTGAATCTCTGTGTTGGAGTGCCCTGTTTGAGAAGTAAAGCTCCTACACTGTGTTTCAGCATGGTTGTAGGTACATTTATCACAAAAAAACTTCACTTTTTTAAAAATCTTAGATTGTTGTTCTGAACACCTTGGCAGTTTATGTAGTGATTGTTATTGGTTTTTAGGGCTGTTGAGTTGGTTCTGACCAATAGTGACCCTGTACAGTGTCTCCAAGGCTGTAAATCTTTATGGGAGCAGAAAGCCTTATCTTTCTCCTGTGGAACAGCTGGTAGTTTCAAACTACTAACCTTGAGATGAGCAGCCCAATTCATAACCACTATGCTACCAGAGCTCCTTTATGTAGTGATTACGCATTGCAATCTGACTGGCTTGTTTTTGTCTTTTAGTACTAGGCAGGAGACATGTAATATCCCTTCCTAGAAGTAATATCCCTTTCTAGAAAAGCAAGAATACAGAGACAGATTACCTGGCTTCAATGGCTGGATGCTCAGAACTCGACTAGAGAAAGAAAGAAGAGGGAAAAAAGTGTAATCCACTACAATTTCATGAACTTGACCTATACCTATACTTATGGATGTAGTAGCTTACAAGAGGGAACAAATCTTTACAACAAGGATCATTCCCAGCCCCTCTGTACACAGGGTTGATAGGGATGGGCAATTTAGACATTGGCTACCCAAAATGAGGGGGGGGAGGTGTGAGGCAGGCTTCAAAGGCACGAAGTGACTGGCTTACAAGCTTTCAAGAGGGAGCCTAGATCCAGAGGGCATGGAGGAAGGTAGAATCTCCACTGAGTGGTTTCCAACCTGTCTGGACGGGGCTGGTAAAAGGAGATGGGGATAAGAGTTTTGTGGTTCAATAGTGAATAATTGCTATCAGGACTGATTGGGAATGTGGCAAAAGTAGAGGTAGGCATTTTGTAACAAAAGGAGGGCAGTGGTTGATCTTGCAGTCCAGAAGTGGATGACCCTGGGACCATTAAGGGAGAAGAGCGATGATGACGTGGAGAGATGGAGCAGCTGGGGACTCTGGATTCAAGGAGGGAGAGGGTCTGTGTGCTGGTGGCTAGGAGGCTGGTGTGCAATGTATAGCCTATGGTTGTTTGATTGGTTATATATTCCTGAATGCTTCGGTGTACATCAAAAAAAAAAAAAAAACAACAACAACAACAGAGGGATTGGCAGCAAATGCTGTTGAATGATGATGCATGATAGAGTGGATTGTAGCCATTGCCATGAAACAAAATATGATAGGATGAATGTAAAGCTGATGCTCTCCCATGTAAACTATCACTCAATTCACAATAAAAAAGAAAAAAAAAAAAAAAGAA